TAATCTCAAACGCGTTACACGACGCGTATCTTTTGACACGCCTAATTTGAAATCGTCTTCGAATTCACAGGGGTGAAAAGAAATAGAGGTGTGACGTGTATCGAGTGGAAGCGTTGAACTCAAACAGTTCGTCGATCTTCCCTGTTCAACGATGCGCGAAATTCTCATTGACTCGATTGACTTTCGTCCACGACGAAATACATAAAACGTTTAATGTTTCTGAAAATCGTATTAATCTTAACGTAGATCCGTATCTATCTATTCGATCGAATGAAACGTTTCACGATAAGTATTTGATTGGTATTACATAAATATTTTTAAATATCGAATTACAAGTATTCTCCTCTCGTGTAAAAAAAAAAAAAAAAAAAAAAAAAACACTTAATAAATCAAAAGTAATATACTTGTTATCGAAAAATTTTAATCTGTATATAAAGAATCTTGAGAGTTTTATCATAAATTTTCTATGAATCTTTATGAGTTTAAAAATCGGTTTTAGATTATCCTCAATTTCCTCAAATTAAAGATTTTATCACTTATTTAATATTGTATTTTGAATTGAAGTGTATACGAAATAATTTTGACATTGATTCTATATCAAGTATCGAGAAAAAAATTTATTAAATTCTTCTTTAAATGAATTTTCCTATAATTTAAAATTATACGCTTATACATATATGCAAATGTAGATCGATTGAATGCACGTTAAAAATAATCCAAAACTAGAATTTCTATGTATTAATAACGCAAACTAACAGTTGCTAAGCATTCGAGAAAAATTTGTTTCGTATTATTGTCTTTAGAATTTTTCATCCTGTAATCAAATAATTGACCGTAATCCCTTATGAAATTCATGTCGTCGGAAAAATTATTTTTATTATTCGATGCAAAAAAATCGCCATATATAATCGATCGATATACTCTTCTCGCCGCAATATCTTCAATTTTAAGAGGTGCAACAATTGGACGATGGCGCGTTAAGAAAGAGAGAGAGAGAGAAAGAGAGAGAGAGAGAGA